TTAACACCCGTTATTTCCTTTTCAGATCTTACAGGTGAACAAGGTGATGTCCATCTTGTTTTATGTGATATTTCTCGCTTATCTCCGTGGCATCCAAGGTAACAACATGGATCAAAGGAATTTGCCGGAAGACTCACTCAACTCCCTGATTATTAAGCTGATCCAGGCAGATATTTTGAAAAACAAGCTCTCCAAGCAGATGGTGGATGTTAAAGAAAATTACCAGAACGTCCTGCCGAAAGCAGAGGCAGCCCGAGAGCCAGAGCAGGGAGAACCTGCCAGGTCAGAATTCCAGCCAATGATTGCGACAGACACCGAATTGCTGCGACAACAGAGACGCTACAGTTCCCCCCGAGTCCTGCTAAGCGACAGTACCCCCTTGGAGCCTCCTCCCTTGTATCTCATGGAGGATTACGTGGGCAACCCCGTGGTGGCCAACAGAACGTCACGGCGGAAACGGTATGCAGAGCATAAGAGTCACCGAGGGGAGTACTCGGTGTGTGACAGTGAGAGTCTGTGGGTGACCGACAAGTCGTCGGCCATCGACATTCGGGGACACCAGGTCACGGTGCTGGGGGAGATCAAAACCGGCAACTCTCCCGTCAAACAATATTTTTATGAAACGAGATGTAAAGAAGCCAGGCCAGTCAAAAACGGTTGCAGGGGGATCGATGACAAACACTGGAACTCTCAGTGCAAAACGTCCCAAACCTACGTCCGAGCACTGACTTCAGAAAACAACAAACTCGTAGGCTGGCGCTGGATACGAATAGACACTTCCTGTGTGTGTGCCTTGTCGAGAAAAATCGGAAGAACATGAATTGGCATCTCTCCCCATATATAAATTATTACTTTAAATTATATGATATGCATGTAGCATATAAATGTTTATATTGTTTTTATATATTATAAGTTGACCTTTATTTATTAAACTTCAGCAACCCTACAGTATATAAGCTTTTTTCTCAATAAAGTCAGTGTGCTTGCCTCCCCCCAGGCCTCTCCCATCTGTTAATCTTGTTTTGTGATCTGGCTCTCAGGAGCCTTTCTGTAAAATCTGTGTACACCAGTACTTTGCATTCAGTATTGTCAAGGCCATGACTGTCGCTTTAGTAAACTTGTTAAAATCAGATGATGTCGGCGTTGTGTATAAACACAGTGATATCCGCCTTCTGGTATATTCCATGTTGGATTAATTAATTAAAAGAACTGTTATGGCCTCCATTGAAATTATACCCTGTAGCTTTGAGCTTAGCATTTCCTCCTGGCCAGCAAGCACACCACCAAGTACTTACTTGTTTTTGTTTTTTTTTTCTACTCTTGGTCTTGCCAATTAGAATTATGATTTGTGCCAATAACAACGAACCTGGCAATTTTAGTTTTGTAAGTTTCTTTTTAGCACATTTGTTGTTTGGGGGTTGTTTAAGGGTTGGATTTTTTTTTTCTTTTTTGGCTTTGGATTTGTTTTGCTTTTGGTAAGTGGTTTTCATCCTTTTAGGCACATAGGAAAAAATTTCTAGATATTCGTAACAGAATAATTTGTGTGCGTGTGATGCCGGGGATCGAACTGTAACAGGATAATTACATGGCTACCCAGAAGCAAACTGAAATGGCTCATGAATAATCTATACACAGAAAATAAATTTTCTCATTATAAACTCTCTTGGCCCATGGCCTTCCCCACTGATCTGTGAGTGGTTGGAAAGGGCTCTGGCTTTGGAGTCAGACTTCAGTCCAATTTCCAGCTCCTCCCTTCTGACCTGATCAACCCTGGGAGCCTGGGTTTCCTGGGGGTCAGAATCTGATGGGGATTCTGGCCTACCTCCCAGGAAACCTGACAGGCCAGTTAAGTACCCAACTCTGAACTTTCCAGCATGGAGTAGGCATTTGAGAGTTCCTTTCCTTCCCTCCTCTTTCTTCCTTTTTTAGATATTATGTTCAACCTTTGTATTATTGTTGGTTGATTTTCCACCTTGAGATATAAGAGGTCCAAACATAAGAGACTTTCTTGGTGCCCACAGAGTCCCAGCAGAGGTCTTTACAGGCAAGGGGTCACTGTGGTGATGGCATCCCCTGTCCTGTCTATTCAGGATGGAGGGGACACCCATAGTGACCCCCAAGGAGTTTGCTGATGCCCTGTCCCATTGAGAAGCAGTTGGAACTCTTAGGGCTGAAGCATATGGGCGCTCATCTCCATTTGCCAGAGGTAAAGGTGTCCACTAGTCTAACACAGAAGCTATCCTTACTGCCCCGAACCCCTGCTCTGTGCCTGAACTGGGTTACCCTGCCTTCATTTAAAGCCTATGTGTGCTCTGTCTTCCTGAGACCTCTAACACTCACCCCTGTAGAGCACGTGTCCTTTATGTGACATGAGCTTTCAAGACAGACTCAGCAAATGAGAGCAGCTTTGGTTAAGAGCATCATGATAAGAGCTTGATTCTGAATGCCCAACGTGGAGGCAGGAAATGAGCCTGCCATGTCCCCACTATGTGCCAGGCACTTTCAAACACTGCCACCATTATTTGCCGCAAATCCTTTGAGGGAGCCATTTGTCATCTCCGGTTTACAGGTGAAGAAACGGAGGCTTGTGGGTTTAACTTGACCATGGTTATTTAGCAGAAAATTGGCGGAGTGAAGAGGTAGATCCATGTTTGGATGATAACAAGCCTCCCTCCCCTTTCATTCATCCCTCTCCCTCCTGCTTCTAGCTGGCAGCATCACAGTTTAACGTGAACACTGCTGTCCTAGAGAATGAAAAGCACAGTTCTCTGCCTGCCAGCGTCTGTAGCTGCTGTTTCCCTGATCCTACATCAATGTCAGGATAAGCCTGATGATAGGATTCTGGGAGTCTCTTGATGACGCAGGCCCCATTCTCAGGAGCTCATCACTGGGTGGTGCCTGGTAAGCCTTCCCCTTGGCCTCCAGTGAGGGTGTGGCACCCTCCAGCAGGCTGTGAGATGCTGCAGCTGGGGGCATCTATATACCTGGTGTCTGGATGTTAGACTAGCACTGTGGTAGAGACGATTCCAGTACAAGGACCTAAAATAGGAGTGGTACAATCCAGTTGACAGTGGATTCTGGGATGCTGGAGCAACCTGTGAAAGTGCTGCAGTAAGCTGCCCAGGCTGTCTGTCACAAGGCCGTCCTCAGGGTCATGAGTTAAGGAGCCCATAGATTCCTCTTTTGGAACTTCTATTCCAGAACCTGCCTAGAGGGTCCAGCTGACTGGCTTGAGTGATAGAAGTCGGAGACCCCAACTTTGGAAGGCAAGGACCCTCAACAGCAGGGCTGAGTCCTGGGCCCTGCCTTGAATGCAAGGAGTTTGTCAGCCTGTCAAGAACACGTTTGGAGCAACACACTCCTGGCAAAAATGCAGGTTGGAGAAGACAGTGGACCTGGAGAGAGATTCTGAAAACATTCTCTGAGCTGCAGGCTGTCTGATGGCCCAGCCTCTTCCATTCTGGGTGGCAAGGCAATGAAGCATTTTCCAGCTCCATTTCAGAAACTGCGTTGGCATAAGAGGGAGTTCAGGTGCTGCCAAAGCCAACACGCTAGGCTTCTGGGCCCAGGGAAGAGGCTTCCTAGAGGTTGAAAGATGTTTCAACCACTGTATACATCCACTGTATACAATTGCCATTATGATTGACTGAAAAATAAACCCATCTCTGAGACAGGATTTGGGAGATCCCCACACCTTGGAAGACTGGTGTGTGGATCTCCCAAAATTCCACGCTTTGCTCACCATATCGTTTAGTTTCTTGTTGAAGCTGTGAAGAACTTGACTAGATAAGAGAAAATGGACTCTGAGCCACTGTGTTGCCCACAGCTGTGTGGCCTTGGATGAGTCCTTATGCTAACTTGAGTATCATGAGATTCTACTGCAGAGAGGATGGTGTCTGGACTGGATGGTTCTCAGTTCCTTAATGTCATTGTGGAAAGTCCCACTGGCCACTGATGGGGGCTTTTTTTCTCCCCTCGTCTCAAGTCTCTAAGATTCTCCACATTTGGAGACTGTGAACTTGAACAGGTTACTTACTGTGCCATTGTTTACTTGTCCATAAAATGGGGAGAGCGTCTGTTTGTAGGATTGTTTTGCAAAAATCATCCATTCCCTGGCACATGAGAAACCCCCTTAAGTGTTACTGATGATGATGATGAGCGTTGGGAGAGGGGATTGCAGGAACCCTCATTCTAGAATCTGGTGGGAATTTCTAAACTGGGTGGTAGAAGATTCATCCTGAATCCATCTCCTACTCCACGAGAGGTGGACCTTAGGGTAGTATTTGCCCATTTCCCTTCTGCAGGTCTCTAACAAAACTACTGACCCAGTCTTCTAATAGGCCTTTAATCCTTCTCTGTTTATACACCAGAGAAGGCGGTCCTAATTCTTCCAATAAATTTTGTAGAAATTCCGCCTAGTACTTTTCTGATGTGTGTGTGTGTGTGTGTGTTGTTTTCTTTTTCAAATTTATTAGACAACTTTGTTCTTGTGTGTGTTCTCCCCTCACCCCTTCTCTCTCCAGGTTGGTATTGATGTTTTAGGGTTTGGCACTTTTTAAGATTTTTTCCCTTTCCCTTTCCCGTGTGTGTGAGTGCATGTGTGTCTATGGGTGCTTTATAGTTCATTTAGTCAATGTAAAAGTCCCTCCACTGAGGCTTGGAGAGACCATCTGCATTTATTTTATCACCTTTGAACATGTGTTCAGGAACAAAGTCCGTGTAGCCAGTTTATGGTCACCTGGAGACTTCTCTGGCTTCACCAGGAAGACGCATCCCCCAGTCTTCAAGCTCTGAGGCCCTGGGTGTGCAAAGCCAATACCAGGCCCTTGGCTAAGCCAGGCCTCACAGCTCCAGCTCTGCTCGACCACACTGCCAGCTTTGCCTCCACGAGGGAGCTGTGAAACTGGGGCGCAACCAACTGCTCGCAACGGCCACTCCTCCCTCTGAACACAGGCCTGAGGGCCTTGGGCATGCTCTGTTCACAAACTCAGTCACTGAAGTCTGATTCAACTGGAACCTTCTCCCTCAAGATCCCCACCCCCAAATCTAAGGAGACCCAAACTCCTTACACATGCCCTTCTCAAGTTACAGCAGGCTGGTGGGCTACTCAAAAAGCACATGTGTTTCACAGCAAGTCCAAGTGCAAATGCTTCTGTCTTGACCAGAGCCCCTAGTTTTTCCCTTGGCTGTGGGTGGAGGTTGGCCCAGCTCAGAAGAGCAGAATCCCAGAACAGGTCAGAAGGACTCTGAATTTCAGTCTATGGATTTGTTTTCTTCAGTCCTTGGCCTCCTGAGTGACAGAGCATGGGGGCTCAAGAAACAAGCACTAATGTGCCTGGTGGGGGGCAGCAAGGGGAAGAAGTAGAGAAGAGGAATGGTCCAAAGACATCAAAATCCTTCTCTTGGAAGAAGTGGCCTCCACGGGTGAGTTTGGCTGGGTTGAATTGTCATAGAGTTCAGTAATGACATTGATGGTTAAATTATAGAAGTCTCTGCAGCAAAAAAAAAAAAAAAATTAAAGTTTATTGTGAAAAACAGACAAATGAGTTAGACGGCTTTTCCCCTGCACTGTGAGTGGGTGGGTGCTGTCATATCCTAACCATTGGATGTACTGCATTTTTTTAAGGAAAGGTAATGCTTCAGAAAGAATGCTCCTGAATACAAGTTTAACCTTCAGAAGGGTGAACTGGGAGCCAGCTGGGAAGCATATGGGTAATGAACATTCTTGAGGCTAGCAAACAGGCAGACCAGGATGGAAAATTTACAAACAGAAAAGGCATCAGGCAGAGTCTGTCGGCCAAAACAGAAGGGGTTGCAGTTGTGGGCCCTCCAGGTTGGTAAAAAAGTGTTAGAATCTGGTACTGGGACTCAGGTTGGAAAACAAGATGAAACCAAAGAATTAATAATAGTCATAATGGTTATCATTTATGGACTGCTTGCTTCGTGTTAGGCACTAGGCATGCATCTCCATGGAGTGTTGTGCCATTCCTGGTTATTTTAACCCTTTTGTGCAGTTGAGGACATTGGTCGAGAGAAGTAACTTTCCTGAGGTCATAAGCTGGTAAAGGGAAGTGCCCAGATAGGGACCTGAGAGGTCTATGGGCCCCAGAAGCACATTGATCTAAGCATTTAAGACAGTGGAAAGGACGCTAAGTGCTTTCTAGGACCCTGGCCACCAGATTTCAGTGGGGTAAGGGGAGTGAGGAAGATATGCACTCTTGGCACACAGGGAGTGGTTATAAGGGTACAGGTACAGTTCTTCTACCTGAGGGCAGAGGCAGAAGCAGATTTTTTGGTAAGGTGTGGAAGAAGAGTGGGGTTCCTATACCACACCTGCCATCCTTTACCCAACACTTAAGACTCACCCAGACTGCGGGAAAGTGGTTATTGCTCCTACTTGGAAGGTAAAGATTAGTCCTTCTATAATGTTCCTTTGGGGCTTTTGCAAATAGAAGGCAGGAATTCTAGATTTGGACATGAACTCTAAGATCCAGCAATCCATGTTCCCTTATAAGGCAGAAATCTATTTTTATTCATTTGATACTTTAATTTTTTTTTTTTTTGTCTAATGCCTACTAGGTATTGGGCACTATGCCCAACTCTATAGACTCAGCACAAGAGGTGTCATTCCCACTTAGAAGAGCTCTGAGTAAAAAGGGTGGGGCCTTCAGGTATAGCAGTTTGGAGTATCCTTGACAATTTCCATGCCCCGTGATAAGCACCTCCTCACCAGCCAGCTTGCTCTATTTTAAAATAACTCTAATTATCTGATAGAAAGCTTTTCCCTATGTTGAAGCCAAATCTACAGGTTAAAATGGTTTAATGAAGTTATCAAAAAAAGAGCCGCTGCAGGAACCCAGAAAATGGGCAACTAATTGGCTGCCTGGGACAGTCTGGGAAGACTTCATTGAGAGGGTGGCTCTCAAGAGTTGGAGTCTCACAGGGAAGAAGGAGGATATTCCAGACAGGAACAGCCTACAAAAGTGGAGACTAGGAAAGAATGGAAGATACGTAGAGGAAAGCAAAAAGTGTGTCTTAACAAGAAATTTAGGGGACTGGAGAGCAAAGTCAGGAGGGGCTAATTCAAGGCCAGGTAGGAAGGGCTATGAAGTTTGGAGTTTATGGTTTGGGTGCTCTTATTTTAACTTGCAGGAGAATCACCTGGACAACTTGTTAAGACTGATTGCTGAGCCCCATCACCTGAGCCTCTGACTCATTAGATCTGGGGTGAGGCAGGAGGATTTGCATTTCTAAGATGGTCCCAGGTGATGTAGCTGCACACACACTAGGAGAATCTCTGGTTTATTAAGCAATGAGGAGTCCACAGGGTGTTTACAGTGGGTTTTTGTTTTGTTTTGTTTTTTTCTTTTCTTTTTAGAAGATCATTTTGGTGGCAGTTTAATTGAGGGATGGACACAGTGCTGCAGTGATCAAATGAAGGCCTGCAAGGAGAAGGCGTAGATCTAGGGAGTACAACAGATTAGAGCAGCAGATCTGGGGGTGCAATCAACGAGATTTGGTAACCAGTGGAGTGTGGAGGTGAGCAAGGAAGGCGTTAGGAAAATGACCCCACCATGTCTGGAGGTCTAATGGTTCTAAAACAAATTCAAGAAGACAGCAAGATGAAGGATTTTAGATGTCCAGGGTGTCAAGAAAAAGAATAGCCAATAGATAATTGATTATCAAGATAGATATGAACTTAAAAATTATGAAAGAACAGATCTTACTTATTCATAAATAACCCAGCATAAATGAGCCTCTGCATTTACAAATGGGCCTAGACTAGGCTCTTGGAAGCCAAAATCATAAGCTCATTAGCAAATCAGGGAAGGGGAGTCAGGACTCCCTGGGACCTAGGATTCAGGCCTCCATTTCAGAAGGGCTGGATGCCTACCCACAGCATCACTTGGAAGCTCTGAAAAGTGCTAGGAGATTTCTGAGGAGAAGGAAATGAATATATTGAGGCCTGAGGTAGCTCCATCCCCAGGTAACCATCATGACATGAGGCCTTAGCAGTCAGCTTTCATACCAGCATCAGAGACATTTCAGGTTATATTTTGAAGGAAAAGTTCTGGGGAAGCTACTATGGCTTGAGTGTTCATGTGTTAGAAAACTAATCCCCAAATTCATATGATAACAGTATTTGTAGATTAAGGGTACTTGAGAAGTAATTAAGATTGGATGAAGCCATGAGGGTGGAGTCCCATGGATGGCACTAATGACTTAAGAAGAAAAGGAAGAGGACCTGAGCTTTCTCTTTCATACCATGTGACTCCCACAGCCATGTGATGCCACAGGAAGGCCCTCACCAGAGGCTGGCACCTTGCTCCTGTTTCTGAGCCTCTACCTGGTCTCAGGTATTATGTAATAGCAGCAGAAAACAGACTAAGACCCAAGCTGACATTTAAAGATCTTGGTCAAAAATGAACTTACTGCCGCTCTGTTTTCTGGGCTAGAACTTTTCCTGGGTATTGAGTCCTGGGAAGCTAAGAAAATAAAATGTCCTCTCTGTTAGTAAAATCCTGGGAGAAGGCAAACACCCTTTCCATTCCGGAGCTTTCAGGCATGACTCCCTCTGTCTTAAATACTCCTCCTTTGTCCTCAGTTCCCCTCATCTGATTCAAGCCTACTCTGCCTTCTGGTCTTAGTTTAAAAATTCCTTTTCTTCAGGGACATCTCCTCTTGAGTTATTTGTGGTCTAGCCTCTCCTCCCGCATTTTATATTCTCATTGGACCCAGCCTTTTATTTCCTATCACATAACACAACTGAAATTATAGATATATGGTAATTTGTGTAATTACTTTACCATTTTGCCCCAGTTAGCTATAATCTCCATGTGTCCGCAGGTCATCCTGGTTTGAGCCCAAACTTTACCCCAAATGCTAAGCACAGCACCTGGGCTATCAGTAAGCACTCAATTCATTGTACAAATTAATGAATGAATCCCCTTAATAAACTGGGATTATGACAGAAAGAGGATTTGCACCAAACTTCAGAGAGAATGGATTAGCGAGAAGGGCTGTGCTGCTCATTGGCTGTTCAGAAATCTATGATGAACTGGGGGAGGCAAGAGTCTCAACAATGTGAACTCATAATGTGCTTTATTGCCCAAAGATTTGAGACTCCATTATTCCATGGGTGAACTATTGAAAGGGGACTCAAATTGAAAGAAAACAACTTTTTTCCATATTTTATATTGATGCATTATTATTGTACATAATGGTGGGATTTGCTACATATTCTTACAAGTAAACAATATAACAATATAATTTGGCCAATATCATTCCTCAGTCGTCCCCCTTTCCCTCTCTTCTTCTGTCTCCCTGGTCCCTTTTCTTTACTGATTTCCTTTGATTTTCATGAGATCCCCCACACGCACCACTTTCTTTTCCTTTTCTCACTCTAGCCTCCAAGTATGAGAGAAAACATATGTCCCTTGACTTTCTGAATGTGGCTTATCTCATTTAACAGAATGTTCTCAAGTTCCATCTATTTTCCTGCAAATGACATAATTTCATTCTTCTTTATGGCTGAATAAAACTCCATTGTGTGTATATACCACATTTTCCATATCCATAGACAAAAACAAGTTTTAAATGTAGTTAAGAAAACCAAAATCCAAGGTCATGAACCAGGGTTATGCTTACACTTCAGAGACAAAGGACATCTTGTATTGATTTGGCAGTCACTCATCCATTCAGCCATTCCTCCATTTCACACACGAGGAATCATGACCCACTCTTCCTAGGTATGGATTAATGCAATGACAAATTTGAACAGATGAGGCTCAGGCCTTCATGGAGCTTACTACCTTGAGGGTATGGCAGGAAAAAATTAAGAAAATATATAGATAAGATAATGTCAGGTAGAAGAAATGTAACAGCAAAAGACAGAGAAGGAGTAGTGAACAGTTTGGGAGGGCGACGGTGGTATTGTGTAATTATGTTTTCATGGATAAAATGCTTGCTGCTGTGAAATTCAAGGCATGAAATGTCAGTATGCCTAAGGGAAGTCAAACATATTTTCCTAGACTGTGAGCAATTAATGGTCCTAATTAAGGCCTAGGATCTTCAACCAAAAATCCAAAGCCAAGCTTTGGCAATAGAAGTGCAAACCAGGCCCAATTCATGAATGAATCACCTCTCTGTCCTTCAGCTGAGTAAAATTTTTTATCAGAAAGCTTGGACACCTAGTTCTCACCATAACAGGCAGGCGCAGTGCAGCCTCTGTCCACAGAGGGACTTTTTACCCTGTCAAACCTGTTCCATTCCAGAGGAACAAGATGCAGTCACTCTCCTGCTGTCAGGGCGGGGCCTCTGGTCCCCCTCCAGATGCTCAAAGGCCTGGGGGAGCAGGCGGTGGGCAGGGCCACTCCTTCTGAATTCCTGTGCCTCTGGCTCCTGCTGGCAGCTGCCCAACCAGATAGATGGGGAGGTTGGCCCAACCCAGGCCTAGGATTTTGCCTCTGGCACCCCAAGGGAACACATCAAGAAAACTACTCAGGTGACTTTCCTTAAGACTGTAGTGAGTTGTTTGTACTCAACAACCCTGAGATTTCTTTCCCCGCAAAAAAGGTTATAAAAGCATTCCTGATTCAATTAAAGTATTCTTGGACTCAGGCTACCTTAAGAATGAGTGGCAGGAATGAGAGCTTTGAGATTGTACAAGAAAAAGGGTCAAGCTGAGTGGGCTTTGGGAAGCTTCAGAAAAGCCACTGGAACTCGGTTCAATCCCAACCTACTAAGCCAGCTAGAGAGGTTAGGCAACCCAGTCAAAGTCACACAGCTAACAGAGGGCAGAGCTGGGATGAGAATCAGATCATCCATCATCTAGTACGGAACATTCTATTATTCCACTCGGCCTTAAGAGGGCCAGTAGAAGAACATTTGCAAGAGCCCTGCAGATCTCACCTGGCATCTACTTTGCCAACCATCTCTATATTCTCAGGCACTTCTCAGAAACCTGGATTTTTCCACATGCAATCTCCAGTCTGTGGTCATCTGACCTCCAGAGGCTGTCTCTGTGGCTGGTATGCAATGACAAGTCAGGCAGCATGAAACCTAATCCCACCACCATATTAATCATGTGACCTAATTTCAAACTTCTATAAAATGGCATTAATGCTGATTCCGACCTCTGGGGTGATAGTGAAAGTGTGTTTAATTGAAACAGGTGGTCTGAACACCAGTGTGTGGCTGTAGGCTGCAGAAGGGTCCTGAAGGCCTCCTCAGGGTCTCCTTTGAATTATAAGGAATTCCTGAGGCTCTCAAGGAAATGCTGTAGTAGCCAGGGAAGACGGAGATCACTAGTAGGCTCAGGTGACAGTCATCTAATTGATATGGTAGTCATTTGGCATTTTAATAACTGGTTCCGCTGGACTAACACCTCCCAGCCTGTCATCTACTCTGCCTATCTTTCAAGGATGTTGTCAGGATAGCAGACAGACACACAGGGCACTTGGCATCTAGAAAGTTCCAGAGCATCCACTTCTGTCCTGAGAAATGGAACCTGAACCTTCAGGCTCTGAGAAGAGGAAATCCAGAGGCCAGACCTACAAATTCTACTGCTTATTGCCACCTTCACTTGAAGGGCGTGTTACTTTTTTCTTGCCTAATTCCCTCCCATGGTAGCCCAAGTCAGTTCTTCCAGTGCTTTTGATTTTTAAGTCCAGATTAAATCTGAAAGATTTTTTTAAACCCTTACAAAATTACACTCAAAATCATGACACCAAAGGAGGTGGGAAGCAGAGGATCCTGGTTTCCATGAGTTTCCTTTGCAATATTTGCCCTCTGTCCTCTTGTGTTCTGCCCCTGCTCCTGAGGGGTTGGAAGGGCACCGGCCCTCTTCTGCTCCTTTCAGGTCAGTTTCACAGTGCGAAACACATGGAGGACCTGCTGGTGCTAGCTCCTGCTTAAGGCTGGTTGAGCTGATTGCTACTAGATTTTTGTAATTTGCTGTCTGCCCTCAGACCCTGTTAGCCACCACAGGATAGCAGAGGTGGGAGAGATACAGTGCACACGAGTGAAAGCCTGTGTTATGGTTTGGATGTGAGGTGTCTCCCAAAACCTCAAGTGTGAGACAATGCAAGCAGACTCAGAGGTGAAATGATTGGGTTATGAGGGTCTTAAATCAATCAGTGAATTAATCCCCTGATGGGATGAACTGAGAGGTGACTGAAGGCAGATAGGGTGTGGCTGGAGGAAGTGGGTCACTGGGGGTGTAGCTTTAGGGTATATATTTTGTATCTGGCAAATGGAGTCTCTCTCTCTGCTTTCTGGTCATCATGCAAGTTGCTTCCCTCTGCTACATTCCTCCCCCATGCTGTTCTGCCTCACCTCAAGCTCTGAGGAAGAGAGCCAGCCTTCTGAAGACTGAGACCTCTGAAACCATGAGCCCTCAAATAAACTTTTCCTGCTCTACAATTGTTCTGGCCAGATCTTTTAGTCACAGTAGTGAAAAAGCGGACTAAGACAGCCTGCTGTGTCCATCCTGAGCCCCGGATGTGAGTCCTGGAACCTGGTCCCACTGCACAACCCCTCCTTCAGCACTTGCTCTGTGTCAGACCCTTCTTGACAGATTGCAGCCCAAACTCCTGGAGGAATAAGACACAAGGTGATCAATGTTTCCATGGTTGTATATTAGGGAACAATGGCTTGCTCTTAGGACAATAAGAGGCTCATCACCTCACCTAAAGGGAGATGGGACAAGGGAGGGGAAGGTTTCCTGGAGGAGATGGTGCCTACAGAGAAATAAGAGAGGGTATTCCAGATACTGCAAAGTGTACCTGAGAGCAAATATATAGGCTTGAGGTGTTGGGACTCAGAGAATTCAAAAGGCAGCACGCAGAAATCCAACATGCATACTGGAGAGCTTGGACAGGTCCCCTGCAGAAACGTGCCATGAGGTCGTAAAGCAGGAGAACAGCTGTCAATAGATGGGCCACCATGGGCCCAAGGATCTCATTTGTCAAGAAGGGATCTGAGCTTCCTCTGCCTGCCCTTAGGTTCTCTGTACCATGTGCACTTGCCCCTGGGTTGTGGTCAGTCAGATCTAGGTCCATCTGGAGACAGAAAACAGATGTATTAGCCCCTGTGTAGATCCCAAGATTCTCTACTATATCCCCTGGAAAGAAGAAAAATTCAAAGTCACATGGAAGGGAAAAAACCTGGACAGGCATCCTGGCAGGTTGGAAGCCAGGTTTGGAGAAGGTCAGTGACTTGGGAAGAACTTCTTCCTTTCTCATTCCCCTCATCTGGGTTTGACACATCACTCAGCATCACCCTGGCTATTCACTAGTCCCCTTTCCCTGGTGGGAGGCCCACTTCTGTCCGTGCTTTTTCTATTGCAGTTGGAAATCCAGATGCTGGGTCTCAATCTGAGAGTAACCTAGCCATCCATATTGCTCCCTCCCCTCTTATCCTGTCATGCTTCCTTCTGAACTTTTGACACAGATCCTGCTTCATGTCAGCACATATGTCAGGCCTGGTGAAGGCAGCATCTTCAGGGTGGGTCTTGCACCCTGCACTCATACCACCTACTCCCCTTCTTGCCCAACAGTCAGAGCAGAAAAGCTGCAACTCCTGAGGAGGGTAGGAAGACAGCAGAGGCCTGGCCTGAGGAGCACAGGGCTCCTTGCTGCCCTCTGCATTTCTTTGCACTGGGATGCAGCTGACAAGGGAGGTAGGGGCTCATGCCAAGCTGTAGCAGGCCCACAGCAAAGCTGACTTTCTTCCCTCCCTATCCAGCATTCTAAAGGAGCAGAATGAGAATAATCTCTGAATTTTCATCAAATGTCACTCTCATCAGGCCACACCCACTCTCTACAGTCCAAGATGTGTTGTTGGGTATTTAGGACCATTGACAGTGTAGCCACAGCCTGTGTTCTAGCCTTTTCTCTCTCATGCTAACACTGAGCCCAACTCCCCTGACTTTTTCCCTTTGTCTCATACCTTGCTTGCACTTCCCCACCTCCAAACCTTGGCAGGGTCCACCCTGTGCCTCCATGGGTCATTTTCTGACCCAGCATTCATCCTGCACAACAGCCTCTCACCACCTGGCTCAAAAGTAATGCCAGAAAAAGAGATAGTGCACTTACGGAATCCTGACTCTTGGATTTACAGCTTTCTCCTTTGACAGATGAGGAGGCCAGGCTCCAAGAGAGGCAGTGATTCCTTGATAAACAGTGGATAAACAAGAGAGCTGGCACTCAGACCTTGCCCCAACTTCAGAGCTCAAATCTCAAATAGCTGCCATGAGGAATTTTCTTCTTTTATTCATGAGGAGGGAGAGAATTCTAGATTACAGTAATTAGTACTTCTTGGAGTGTTTGACCCCCACATTTTCTGAAGGGAAAACCTCCTAGAGCTTACTTGGGCTATAATCAGAAGCTGGATCCATTCCTCTTCTCAAGACCAGCTATGTCATTTTGTTAGGTAGAAATTCAGAACCCCAAGATGGCGGAGGCTGGGTATAAGAAGAAAGCCACTGGAGGATATGACAGAAAGACAAGTCATGTCATGTTTATGATAAGCCCCATTACCATGACAACTTCCACCACGGAGGACTTACCACCATGACAACTTTGGCCACAGGTTTTGTTATTTTAAAATGACCAATGGGCTTAATTGGAGAGTATTTTAATTAGGTCTTTTAAAGTAACCAATGGGGGAATATTGGATACGATTCTAATCAAGTATCATAAGGTAACCAGTGGGGTCAAGTGGCACAAGGTCTTCAATCAGGTAGAAATAGGGAAGAGAATACCTCACAGTTCAGCATAGAAGACGCCAATTTCCAGACATCAGGGTCACGAGTTTCTCCCTCTCGCTCCACCCACTCCACTCTACCTTACAGAGTGCTACTTCCACCTTCACCTTCAATAAATCTGTACTTTGTCAGATTTACTGTGTTTGTGTTGCTCAATTTTTTGTTCAGGAGACCAAGGACCTGGACCCCAACTGGGCACCCTGATGATAACCATTTGGGGGGCCCAGTGTAAAATGCAAACATGGGGTTCCTGTTCATAAAGGATTAAGAATTTCAAAATTCCAACAGCAAAATATTAAATGCCAAATACAGGTCCTTCTGCACTCAGTGCCTCATGTGGCCACTGGTCCTAGCAAGTTTCTTTCATATAACAGCTATAAAAGGCCAGAACATTTCTAATTTTCCCTTTCTTTTCATTTCTTTTTGTTTCTTTCCTTTTGTTATTTCTTCCGTCATGGAGCTGGGGGATAGAACCCAGGGCCTGTGCATTCTAGGCAAGCACTTTACCACTGAGCTGCCTGTCAGCCCTCATTTTTCTTTTAATATAGTGATTTATCCTAAATGCTCCTTGAATTGCCAATATTCATTAACCAGTCTGTAATCAATGACCCAGTGTTCTTTTATCTTTGTCAATGTTAATGTTTTATGTTGAATCAGCAAAAGCAGGAAAATCTTTTTTCTAATGTGAATGTATAATTCACTCCTTTTTTCTATTGCCTTATATCATAATCCATGCTAGAAGTCATTACTTGTATTGAAAATGCATCATTTCCATTGAAAAAATATCTGTTCTTCTTAATGAATTAATACTACTAGTGTGATCTGAGAGACTTTTTTGTTACAATTTGTTTCTAGATATCAGGAAAACTTCAATCTTACTTCAAAGAAATTTTAAATCCACAGAATCATGTGAATACACAGCCAGGGGGATTCCCAGGGTTTAGGGAGGGCCAGGGCCAGAGGTTGAGGTTTTATTAGCGTTGTGGTTGAGGTTGGAGGCTGGGACTCTGAACTACTAAACCAACAGATCTTTCCAGCTGCACACTCCCCCTCCCCACAGCCAGCAACATCCACTCTTCAGACCCACACTTTCAGCCTACAGCAGAGTGCTGAGAGGAGAGGATGGAGCAATGCACATTTTCTGCAATTGTATGTTGAGAAAGACAGAAACAATTTCCTTGAGCCAAAATGAAGTTGGGCTGGATTACGGCCTACTCTATACATTTGATCTATCAAATCAGGCAAGATTTTCCTCTCATTTAGAGGGCAAGGTTTATGCATTTGTCTTTTCAGAAGTTTAGTCTTTAAAGGTTTGGGTTTTTGTTATCAATTCCACACAGAACCTCTGAGCTCCTTTGGGGTCAGGGAGTTGTTAGAGGTGGGCAGGGGAATCCCACGTGAAGTCCCACAGCATGGCCCTTGGCCAATATGGCTTCATGAGCAAGATGAAGCATTGCTGCCTGTGGGCCTTTGAGCCAGCAGAGGAGCTCCGATCCTAACTCCATCCCGTAGGAACCTGGTAGCCTCGCGCACGCTTACTGCTCAGTTCTTTCCTTTCCTCTTCTGTAAATGGAAGGGAAATACCTAACAGCACAGAGTGTTTTTAAGAATGAAGTAAACTCTTGCTGTGAAGTGCTTGGTAGGTGGCCTAGTGCTTCCCAAGTGCCACTACAGAATCATTCATGTGTTTGTTAAGGGTTTCATCCAGAAAATCAAGGCAAAGTTTGTCCCTGTGCCAGGGCCTCCTCCCCTTGCCTTCCCGCAGAGCTTCACTGAGAGATGCCCACTCTGCTCCTCTGGCCTGGCAGGACAGCCTCCTGTCTTCTTGTTTCTTATCTCTTGTTTCCCATCAATGAGGGTGTTATGGTTTGGATGTGAGGTGTCCCCCAAAAGCTCACAAGTGAGACAATGCAAGAAGGTTGAGAGGAGAAAAGATTGGACTGTGAGAGTCTTGACCCAATCAGTGAATTAATCACTTGATAGGGATGAACTGAGTGGTAATTGAGGTGATGGGGTGTGGCTGGAGGAGGTAAGAATTGGGGGTGTGGCTTGCGGTATATATTTGTATTTGGCAAGTGGAGACCTCTCTCTCTGCTTCTGATCATCATGTGAGCTGCTTCTCTCCACCACACTCTTCCACCATGATGTTCTACCTCACTTTTGAGTCCCAAGGAATGGAGCCTGCTATCTGTGGATTGAGACTTCTGAAATCCTGAGCCCTCAAATAAACTTTTCCTCCTCTACAATTGTTCTGGTCAGATCCTTTAGTCACAGCAGCAAAAAAAGCTGACTAAAACAGAGGGCTTCCTGCCTGTGACTCAGCCCCAACTCCTTCCTGGCTGAGTGAATGAAGCAGCTTTACCTGCCACAAAGGGCCAACTAGCAAACCCCTACTGACTATTCCACACTAGCCCTGGCTACATTTCCCAGGCCATCTATGACTGGCAGGAGTCTGCCGTAAAACTTGGCCCAAGATAGGCAAATGTTCACCACCAGAAGGACAGGTCCCGTTGCTTCATCCCAGAAGTCTCCCAGCTTTTATCTTCCAGTCTTGCGCCTGGCCAGTACCCTGTGCCTCCTCAAATTTGGGACTCAACTTATTGAAAACCTGTCCCCTATTATTAGGTATGGTGTATTTCTGAAACTGTGCACCAAAATCAGATGTTCAAAAGCACAGTCATTCAGTCATTGACTTAAATGGCATAGGGATATATTTTCCCAAGGATAGAAAAGAAATTGTAAAATTATATTTATACCAATATTTATACATGATTGTTGTAATATACTACTCATATATTGAATATATTTGTTTATTTCTGCTACAATTCAACATTCATTCATTCAATAGGTATTTAATGAGCACCTCCTAGACTCAAGGCACCATTCTAAGTGTCTGAGATCCATTTATCATGTAGTCTACATTCTAGTAATGGTGGGGGATGGGCAATAAAAAGTTCATGCGATGAATGAGTATGATCTGCTAGATCACGATAAGCACCATGGCAAGGGGGGGAGGTTAGGGGAGAGAGAGAGAGAGAGAAGCAAGTACAGCGAATCCTAAATGTAGATGGAGGGTGGAGTACAGGTTGAAATTTTTATCAGGAAAACCCTCACTGGTAATGCTGAGTTTTGAGCAATGACTTGGAAAGGAGGTGAGGGAGTAAGCCATGTGGAAATCCAGGGGAAGAGCATTCTGGGTAGAGGGCCCGAGGCAGGAGGCAGGAACGTGTCTGGCATACATTGGAACAGTCAGTCATCTTAATTCTGGTGAGCATCTGAATGGGCTTCATGAATCTTCTTTGGGCGTGCCTAATAACTCCTATCTTTTTCTCATTTATATTATGCTAATACGATCTGTGCTTTCTACCCTAGTTTCCTACTCGTTTTTATAAAGCATTAAGGCCAAAATTAGATGAAATGTGCAAAACAACTGTACATACTCTGTGCTGGAGGTGGAGGGTGACCACTGAGGCTGAAGCATGGGCTGGCACGCTGCGCCCCCACGTGGAAGCTTGCAATGTTTGGCCCCTTAGGCATGGGTGTTCCAATCTGGCACTTGGAAGGAAGTCCAGGGGTATCTGCCTTCGATGTCCAAACGTGCATTCTGTGCAAATGGGAAACTTATGAAGTCAGGGACTTCTTGGTGCCTTAGAGAAGAGCTTGAAGGCAGAGGGGGCAGGGTGGGTGCAGACCTGATGGGAATGTGGACCACGCCTGCTTGCTTTCCTCTCTGAGCCAGAGAGGGCTTCCCTGCCTTTGAACAAGAGAGCAGACAGCTCACTCACTCAGGCAGCTGAGCGTATGGGCTGGGGAAGTGGGGGGTTCTGCGGAGGACGAGGTGTCAGGGAGGGTGTGAGCAGATGGCCCACAATACGAATGTGCTTTTGTACGCCCTCAGCCAAGTTCCTCCTGGACACTGGGTGTGCATGTCCTTTTCTGTACTACCATGTTGAGCAGGGACATCTTGAAGCACCCATGCTGCAAGTTCCCAGAGGCTTAAGGACAGGCTGTGGGACATGTGGGCGTCTGGACTGGCGAGCCTGGGAATTGGGGAGGGGGTGTCTGTGCAAGGAAGCCGGCCCACCCCAGTCATAAATGCCATACCCTTAAGGACACGCAGGAGTATTTTATTGTTTCATTGAAAACTGAGCCCCCCGTGCAGCTGTTCTGCCCATGAATTCCAGGGGGCAGGGACATGGCGAGCGGGGAAGGAAGGGAAGCCAGAGGGAAGTGGGGAGAGGGCCTGCTTGTCAAGTCTGTGAGATCTTGTTACCTGGGTTTGGGGGAAATTGGATGCGGTTCCAGGGTTCACATCTTTCTTGCCCCACACAACAGGGCGCTGGCTCCTCTAAAGGCTATGGAGACACAAGGGCCTGCGTGTTTATTCCCCTGACAGCCATGCAAATGGTTTCTGAGCCAACTTTGACAGTCTGTTTTCCAATAGGAAAAAATGTTTTAAGAAACTCTTTGTTTGGAGAGCAAAACCTGCGATGTGTTAGAGGTGACAAGTTAGGCCCTGCTGCAGGTGTACAGGGCTCTGCCTCATACCAGCTGGTCTGTCTGCCTTGAATGCTCTTTCTTTCAGGTGGCCGCTTTGCAGGTCACCTCCTCAGGGCACCTTTCTTGACCAGCCAAGTTAGAACGGTCAGCCCACCACTACATGGCTGGCTTCTGTGCTGCTTCACCCT